TGTAACGATGAACTGGTTTTGATCCTTGGTTTTATATAGTGATTTCTTCCGATTGGCGGAAGCTCAAAAGGGGAGTAGGATTTATTCCGAACCTCTTGCCTTAGGGCGAAAAATCTTGTGTTCTTTTACTGTTTCTTATTTTTCTTGTGCATTACTTTTGTTGTTCTTGAGTTTATACAGCTGATTAATGGCTTTTAATCTCTACACTTATGTATGTGAAAACTCTGTTGTAGCATCAATATGCATAAAAGCAAGAACGTGCGATGTCACGTGTCCAAACAAATTCCATAACTCATTAATGTTCCAATCGTACGACACACATTATCATTGATTAACGACATTCATATATATGTGTATCAAGTTTTTACTTGGGCAACACGAATCTGGTAAACTTTAGCATTCACTAAACACAATGATCAATCAAATAACAGAGAAACATACATGTCAAATTTTCTTCACATATTGGATTAATGTCCTGATTCAAAATATGTATAAGCTAAAAATTAATAAAGGCGGCGCAACAATATTCTTTCTTAATTTGTTAGATGAAGTGCTCAATATTTTGAAAAATTGAGCTGAGCGACTAGTTCAAAATCGAGAATCAATCCGAAAATCAGTCTGACTATATGTTAAAAACAGGATAATTATAATCCAGAAAATCTTCATTAATCAAAAAGATGTTTCTGCTTTCTTCTCTTTCTTAACAAACCACAAATACTACTTAAGTTAAAGCCATACAAATACTGATCTATAATGGAAATAATAGAATCTTATTGTTTGTGGGTTCAACGTAGTATGCTTGTAAACACAGATGAAATTGCTATTAGCAGCATCATCGCAACTTCACTTTGTGCATTCAACTTCACTCCAGCATTGTGGCGAAGTCCAAATCCCATGATACTCGGCCTCGGAGCCACTGTCACCATTGGAGAAGCTGAAAAAAAAAGGATATAAATAAACCCAACTATGCCTTGGATTAAATCACAAATATTTGATACACAGTAATTTGTACGTGTTTCTTTGAGCATAAATTGCCACATAATAGAATGATGAGAAGAGAAAAAGATGCAAACCTGCAACTATTGAATTTGTATTTGGCCCAGAGGGAACTTGGAAAGTAGGTGGAGTTGAAAGCAAGGGTGTGCCTTGAAAGATAAAATAGTCATTGGTTAGTGAGACATTATTTAGCCAGTACTTGACAGCATTGCACAATAGAACGTTAAATTAACTTCATTTGCTTCAGTAGTCTTGTTCAATATTGTCTAGTCAAGCCTATAACAGACACACTATGAAAAAGAGATTCTAGTTTACGTACCTGTGCAATTAGAAATGCTCATCTGGAGGTTGCATAGAAGGGGTAACTGAAGAGCAAGTGTGGTATTAATAGGGAAAGAAGTCAAAGTTGTCTCATTGAGCAAGACACAAAGGCAACTAGGTTGCTGAATGTAGAGTTGTTTAAGGTTGTCACAACACAACTGGACTGGCAAAGGCGCAGCACCCTGCACAAAAGGTGCGCACGGGGCCAAAGGTAGGAGATTCGAGCTACACTGTTCAATTCCGGTGCTTTGGGAAAAGGTGTTCCATGGAAGGCTGAGAAGAAACAAGAGAATTAATGCAATGGTGAACAGAGAAGGCATTTTTTTTCTGTCCTTTTGCTTTTTTTGTCTATGGAGAGAAGTGTTTGCCTAATGAAAGTTAGGTTGAGAATGTGAATTTGGTTTTGAAGTGATTTACATTGCATTGGGCATGAACTGCAACATGCACTGAACATGAATATTTAAGTTCCTTTCTCAGTTTGACTGATTAATCTCTATTGCACTCTCTAGTAATGTGTGCCATGTTCGTCACACGAATAAGCCTCCGTCCGACAAAATTTATAAATCATTTTTAATTGATAAAACTTAACTTTTAACCACACTTTTTAATGGACCTACAAATAATATTCACTTATCGACTATTAATTTTTATCCATTTATAAATTCTTCCCAAACGGAGGCTAATTTTATAGAACATGAACTGCCTAGTAGGATAAAGCAACCTTGGCGACATATGACTTTAAACATGAATTATCCTACCCATATGCCGTGGAAGTCACTCCTACAATGTCCAATGGTAGGGACGAGATCTATTAGTGGTAGATGATAAAAAAAGGAGGGAATCCCAGTGACATAGAGACACAGAGAAAATGTATTCATGGTAAATCTCTAGTTGTATCAATTTTATTACAAATTATATGCTCTAAGTAATTGACTCATCGATCATTGCATTAACGATCTTGAAATCTTTGCAATCCTATGTTTTCAACGTGCATTATAAATAGTTTTAATCATACTAGCTACCAAGAAATTCATTCTTTTAAAAAATGATGTTTCAACTCATCTGGTTGAAATGTTCGATTAATTCAGTGGGCACCAACACTTTTTTGTGCTAGTAATCTTTGATTAGAAATTCTACTTTTAAATTTTTTATTTTGTTGAAAATGAAGAACAAATCAATCCGAAGTTAAATGATATTCTCTTGCTTACCGCCATTGCTTTCAAGTGGATCTATACCTCAAATTTCCATATATGTATAAATATGATGAAATGTTGTATATAAATCTCGTATATTTTATGTGACTAAAGTTTCATTCTCCATTCAACTCGACATTGTCCAATGAAAACTAACAACCTACAATTCAAAAATCCAGTATTCCGTTTGTTAATATTACAATTACAAGAGGATAAATTCATAACAAACCCTAGGATTAGGAATGAGAGTTTGATCTCAAGAAAGATTTGTTAAGATAGGGATAAGTTGAGATTAATTATGAGTGGGTCCGTTTGACACTATTGATCTGAATTGAGTAATTTTTAATTTTTTTTTTATTTTTTTTAAAGTAGCTGTTATTAAAATAAAATCGTTACTATGAATAAAATTTGTATTCCTAAAACGTTTTGTTGTTTTATTTTTCTTGTAAGTACAAAAGTAATTTTTCTTCGAAATTATTCTTATTTTACAATTAAAAAGAGGAATTATCCTGCTCTCCCCTAGAAATTTTTGTAATACAGGATGAGAAATAAAATATTATAATTTACTCTCATTATTTTTAAATTTGAATAAATATAAAGTTTTTGTACGAAAAGATTATTAGTAATTTTTAGGAGGAATAACGGTATGAATCATAATATGTGTAGATGATAATGAGTAATAAGTTTGAATATGTAAATGAAATAAAAGTAATAATTTTGAATATGAAATTGAAATTAATGTTTTTATTAAATAGCAAAAATTAATTTTTAATTTCCTATAAGTATTTTCCCAAAAGAGGCAAAACAAGACTGTCTCCCTGCTCCATTCGAGATTGACAGAGTCTGGTATTTTACTATTCTCATTATTTTCAAAATATATTCTTTTCTCTTTATTTTTTAATTATACATTATTTAATAAAATAATATTACACGCAAACTCAAAAATTTTCCTTATTTTTTAACAACACATTCTTCATCAATCTACTATTCCATTTCGAATTTTGCTACGTGTATATTAAGATTTACATAATGTTATATGACACTCTACCATTTGACAGTTTAAAATACATTCAATTTTTTCATCCAGTTTTTTTCTTCCATATCATATCATGTAATCCATTGTATACAAATAGCAAAATCCATTCCAAAGTACATTCTTCTATACAAATAGGGCTCAAACATGCTCTTTGTATTCCCGAACTTCTAATTTTAAGCCATAAAAAGTAATTATTTTATGCCATCAATTATAAGTAAATTGTTTAGGCTTACACAAACATTTCAAAGTTAAATGTTTCATTAGCCACGGAACTTTGGTTTATATCACGACTTATTCACCGAACTTTCAAACTTTTCCCAATGGCTACTGTACTTTGATCCGTTACTACCCATTACTCACCGGCTCAAATATGTCAATTGACGTGCCTATGTGATAGACGGAAAGTTTGGCTGGCCAGTTAAGTCCTTACAAGTATTAAATGTTTTGCCAAATCATCGACCACGTCAACATACTAAAACCGTGTTTTGATAATTTCATACACGTTTAAACAAGCCCCAAATTTTCACCTTCCTCCCAAATCATAGACATTTTACTGAAGAACCCTAGCTTCATCCTAAGAATCTTCTCCGATTATGAGGCGAAGTCTTATGAGTTCTGAAAACCAATAGAATTCTTTTAGGTAAACAGTGGTATCTCGAAGTAGGTAAGAAGACATGCTCACTATTTTAATTTTTTGAAAAGAGATCAGTTTTTTTGTTCTTTCCAACTCTATAGGTATATATGATTTTTATGTTTTTATGTCTTTATACGTGTTTATATTGTAAAGTTTGAATTTTTGTCAAAATTTTCAGATCGGTGTTAAGTATTTTGTCTTGGAGTTGAGATTTTGTCTTCAATGAACTGATTTTTTAAATATTTTTGGCGTGTTTAGCTTTTTTCTTTTGAAATCTGTTGCTCTGGGTTGGTTTTTTCTTGTTGAATATGACGTTGATTTGAGGATTAATTTATTTTAATTTTTCGTATATTATAAGTTATCTGTGCTGAATGGCTGTGAGCTTAATTGGTAAGGGTGAACGTTTTTATTTTGATTGAATTTTTATTGGTTTTGGTGTTTCTATAAAGGGCTGTGATGTAAATAGGTTTTTAGGTTCAAGTCTTGATCTTGGTATGAATTAAATGGATTTTCTATAAAAACGAATTTATAAACTTTCATTAAATATGATTTTCGACTTGATTTTATTTTTATTTTTTGGCTGCATTAGCATATTATAATGGGGGGAAAGAACAAAGGGATTTGTCTTGGTTGTCAGAAGTCGGGCCACCACTTGTTGGATTGTCCGACGAAGAAACTGTGCCCAATATGCGGTAAGGGAATTCATAAATGCATGGAGGTTGAAAATAGGACTGGAAATTTAGGACGACTATTCTGCTGTTGTACTAACGATTGCACTCATTTCAAGTAGCTCGACGAAGACGAATATTGTCAATAAGAGGGTCAATCAAGTGCTACATCGGAAATTCACAAGTTGTCGGGTTTGTTGAAGCGTGTTGCTAAAATAATCGAAGAAAATGACATGGATATCTCTATCAAATTTACTTTTCGCAAGGGAAAATGAGAGAAGGATAACGGGAAACAAAATGGAAGAGCTCCGTGAAACTCAACCATTTATGTTATTCTCAAGTTTGTGTAATTCATTGGTTTTATAATCTGTTCGTAGACGTCGAACTTCGGATTGTATGTTAATCCCATTTATTTGGAATTTATGTTTGTAATTTCAATGTGTTTATGCAACAAATTTCGTAATAGAGGTTCATATTAATCTATCATTTCTATAGTCCTACCAACATGATTTTTTGTTTATAGACAAAGTCTAACAAAAGCTGTTGCCAATGGATCAACCAACACAGGCCATTAAACTACAAACTACATGCTAAAAGGAAAGCAGATTAATTTGCAAAGCCAAATCTTTGAAACTATAGCATCAATTGATCAAACAACTAAGCCAATGTCAAAATATATACCCAAGCCATCATTTAGAACAATATGTTTACAATTTACATGCCTAAATCCTTTACACGGGACAAAATAATATTTCAAAAGTTATTCCAAAAAAACCAGTGTTGAGTGGCTTTTTTCACACGTGCCCGTTGCAACATCTTGCTTAGCACATGCCTGCTTCACTTCACTAAAAGTCTATCAACAGCTAGTTGGTTGCAACAAAAAACTAGAAGGTAAAAAGGACAGCAACTCCCATCACAACTTCCATAAAAAACAGTTACCAATGACTTCAAACATGTGTTCTTGCTGTTGTACTCAGCTCTACGCGTCGTCGTTTACCTACCCTCGAAGCTTTTACATAGGCAGATTTTGCATCCCCCATGTCATTCAAGGCATCCACAACATCGTCAAAGTTTACATCATCGGTTGGAACATCAAGAAGAACCGACCGCGTGCACATTATAGTTGCTGGACTAGATTTCACACTGCTGGATCGTGCTTTACGAGACACCATCGGGGTTGAAATGAAATGGAAAGTTTGTTTGTTCCTGGGGTTGTGGTCCTTCGATGCTCGTTGTCCTCTGTCTGACAACATTTTACCTTGTATAATGCGTACATCACATTTTCATTTTATTCACATTATCCAAAAAAATATGACAATGAACGTTTGCAAAACTCAATCAAACATTTACTAACTCGTTCGTCGATCGCTCTATCACAATGTGTGCTAACTGATTCTAACTTTCTTTCAAACCAATCATGTTGACAAAAAAATAAAGTAATATTATATAAATCGATTTATAACCTCAACGAAATCAAGATCCTATTCATAGAATTCGGTGCATCTGGTCTAGAGTGATATCGTTTGTTGTGACCCTTTTGTGCTTCATAATGTGCACGTCATCTTCAATCGTCCCTTTCTCCAAATATAGGGGCTGTTTGCTCTAGATTTTTTCTCCATTTTCAGCAGAATTCTAGCCGTTGGAGCACAATTAACAATGGAACATGTGAGCTGCTGGGTTCCATTCAACGGCTGCAATTCTGCTTAAAATCTACTGAAAATCTGGAGCAAATAGGCTGATAGGTCTTCTCTTGTCAATGCACTAACACATCTTCATCTGCTCGTTTTCTCCGATTTATCTGTCTCCTGCCCTTTCGCGGTACATTCTACGATGGTGAAGTGATATCGAACATATCCAATTGTGGCCATAACCGCACACCATTAATTGGATGCATGATACTATTGTAGCACCTCATATACGTCTCTATTGTGTAGCAGTTGTGAACGAAGTCTTTCAGATCATTTATGCATTCCCTAATTACTACCACTGCATGCATGCAAGGTATGCTTGTAAGTTCTCATTCTCTACATGCACAAGTTTTGTCCTCCAGATTGACAACATATGTCCCGAAGCTGCATTCAACTTACCATTTCAGACCACCAAAAAAGTGCAATGTGCATTCACGCGATTTCTCAGCAATCTTGTATAATTTCTTACTGATCTTCTGACACAAACATCATGTACACCTCATCATCGTATCTCAACGCTTTTGAATCTTGTTCATAAAGGTTAATTGTAGTGAAGTTAACAGCAATAGAATCATCTTTTCCCTATTAGACCGCAATATCTTGTTGAACACTTCACATAGATTGTTAAGTAGAATGTCACTCTTCGATTGAACTAAAAAATGTGATTTACTCCATTCTTGCGGGTTCCTCTCTGTAAGCCATTTGTATGTTTCTTCACTAAGTTGACGAATTTATTGCATCCAATGTTGATAGTTAGCAACAGTGGTCGATTTAGCAGTCCGCCATAAGTATTTTTTCAGAATTTTACTTTTAAACCTAACATTAAAGAAGTTTGTGTACATATGATGTACACAAAACCTATGCTCGGCCATAGGAAACAACTCGTTTATCACATTTTGTAGCCCCTTCTGTCAGTCAGTCCTTAGAGTCCAACCTTTTCCATCTCCAATCCTAATGTCCTCTGAGAGATAGGTTAAGAACCATCACCAAATTGCTGTATTTCTTTCTAAACAATTGCATAGGCAAAGGGATGGATGCAGTCATTAGCATCAATACCAACTGTAGTTAACATTATACCTCCGAAACAACCCCGTAAGTGACAATCGTCAAACACCTACTACCTTCCTACAACCATATCTAAAACCTATCTTACAACAATTGAAGCATATGTAGATCCCTTGAAATATCTGATCCTGTAATGCAATAATGAATGTCGAGCCAACATTTGTACGGAGTACCTCGGCTGCATAAGACCTCAATCATCTAAACTACTCTTACAAATTCCCTATTAAAAGTTCTTTTGCATATCTCTGCATCTTCCATGCTACATTTTCGTCTAAAATCTGTAAGAATATCCTTCTTCACTGTTGCCAAAATTAACTCAATCTTCCAGTCCGGGTCCACCTTGAATTGCTTAATATATCGACGTGTCAAGAATATGTAATTACAGTTTCTCTTAAATTGATCTCGGCTACATGTATGCTCCAAAGTGTAAGATTTTACTTGCAACCTCTCGAATGCATCAAATTTAGAAGCCCACATTCTCCATTTGCAACCCAATTTACAAATTCCTTGAACTCTTCTATCCTCGTTTGCCTTAAATTTTACGTTGTACCCATTTAATGCACCGTACGTTCGCACCGCCTCCTAGAACTCTGCTGCAGAATTGAATATTTGTCCTACCTCGAATTGAGAATTTGTCATGTCCTGATCAAAAGTGAATTGAGGAATGTGATAACTGCCATCCTCATCTGATGAACATTGGGAGAGTAGATCCTCTGACGACAGTAGTTCTAATTCATCCAACTCGTTCTCGTTGCCTTCTTCTCGTTCTTCCTGTACTTCATCGTCATGGCCGCCCGATCCAATTTCAATCCGATTAGTTACGTTTCTATCATATTCGATGTCATTGTCATCGGACTCAAAGTCGTGGTCGGATTCTAAGAAGTCTGGATCTTTCTCACAATCTGTCATACAATTCAACCACATTAGATTCATGTAATGTATTTCTTTCACATCAGAAATAACAATGGAAGAAAATAAAGACAAAGACAACGGCTTGAAAAAAATGGGATTAAGCTATGCAAACATGTTCAGCCAAGTTAAACAAGACATTTGTATGTTCAGCCATGAAAAGTAACACTATATTTGCTTACTATAACATGAGGTATTAGTATTTACTATATGAATGGACAATGAGAAAATATTAAGACTTCTAAATGACAAATTTTTTCTTTCAACATGCATTATAAAAGAACATTTTATATTTTTTTGGCATAAAACAACAATTACTATCACAAAATCATGTCAGTATCTTCAAATCGTGCTTCAACAATTATAAATTGATATGCAGTGGATCATTTTCCATTTTCATCGATATTTCCCAATCTGCTTCCTTAACTAATTAACCACCTTGAAAATAAAAACTCACTCATATACCTTCTCATATTGTTAATTTTATAAGTAATACCTCCATACATATACTTTTTCCCATCTTTTGAAGATAGTTAAAAACAATTCCTCACAATACAAACAGATGGATGGAGAGAGAGAAAATCCATTTGAAGATAGTTAAACTCAAACATACAGCTTCTTTGCACTATCTAATTTACCTTCAATAGTTCCGTCCATGTGCACGCTCAAGCATCTTGCTCAAAGTCGAACTTTTCAAATCAAACAGATGCTGCTTCTGGTTGGGCTCTTCTATTGGTTACGAACGACGGGATGGACATCGATAATCATATTTTCCGGGTTTGGGGATTAGGTTTCGAATGACAAATTGATTTTGGGAAATTAGGGATTGAGCTTCAACTATTCTGGAAATGGGTTTTGGGAAATTAGGGATTGAGCTTCCCTATTTTTGTAGTTAGGGTTTCGATTTTCTTGATTCGTGGATTTAGGTTTCGAATGTGATTTTGATTTGGGATTTGATGGTGGAGCTTTGAAATCGATTTGGGAATTTCCTTCCATTTCTCTTTTGTTTGAAGATGGTAAAGGCGTGTCAAGAGTTAAAAACTTGATGAAGGTGTGTTAGGCCGTATGATGTGGCGTGACATGGCGTCCCATTTAATATTTGGAAGGAGATAACAGGCCAGCTCAGATTTTCGTCTTTCATGTCAACGTTAACTGAGACGGCAGCCACCCATTGTGTAATGGAGGATAACGGATCAAAGTGCAGTGGCCATCGAGAAAAGTTTAAAAGTTTGGTGAGTGATTCATGACATACCTCAAAGTTGAGTGGCCAATAAAACATTTAACTCAACATTTCACTCCTGCATCCTTCTAATTCAGGTGAAACAGCCTACTGACAGCTAATTTTCAAAAGAAAATCTTTCTCCCGCACGAACAAGCACGCAATTGGGAAAATTCTTGCCATTCTTCTCGATCGCATTGCTCAAATTCATTCATTCATACCATGAAAATCCAGTAAAAATCCCATTAACTCGAACAAACCCTCTCCAGATCTGAATTCCGGACCCAATCGAATGGCCCGGATCTTCGAGTACTTCGTTGTGTGCGGAGTCGGGCCAGAAATTCGGACCCTCGATGGTGACAAAGGCTACCATGGCGCTGGCATCTTGTACTTACCTTCTCTTCTCGATCAGTACCCTCCTTCGGATCACTCTCTCTACCCACCCCCACCCCCTCAACTCCCCACCTGCGTTTTGCCGGCTGGGGTTGAATTCCATTCATCTGGGTTCAATTCGAATGACCCTTCAACGTTTCCTCGGAGTTATCCTATTGTTTTAACTGAGGGAGATGGGTCCAAGATTTATGTGAGCTGTATTGCATTTCGGGATCCTGTGTGTGAGGATATTGCTGAGGCGTATCGAATTCCAGCTAATTCGTATGCGGACAAGTGTATTTGTTTTGTGTCACGCGGGCCCAGCTTCCAAATCCTGCGTGAAGCTTTGGAGGAAATTTTTGTTCTTTGTTTTTCAGCTTCTGGAAGTAGGTATGAATTGATCACGCTCCTAATGATCTCCTACAAGTAACAAGTCATTCTTATTATACTATCCTGTTATGCGTTTAATCTGAATATGAATGAATCTATATAATTATATCATGAAATACTCACTCTGTGCCATCTATAATCAGAGGAGTTGAATTTTTGCATTTGTCTGTAGTACTCGAGTTTAAATGGGGGAAAGGAGCAATTTAATGGATGCACCATTGATTAAATGGATAGTCATTTTCCCCGACTCTCTGGGCTCTCACTGGATCATTGGATCTTGTGGACTAGTAATTTTTTATTTATTTTATTTTTGTCTCGTTCTGCATGTGCGTGTCTGAATAACGGAACATCCTGTAGAAACAGATAATTTAAGAGTAAAAAGACATCAATTTGAAAACTTAGCAGCTGGCACCTAGTTAAAACTTAGAAGTTTAAACAACGCAATTTCGCTTCCATGTTCGTCTAATACTATAAAACATTCTCATCAGGGTTTTCCTAACCAGTCAAGGGAATAAATCCGCCCTGCCCCTTTTCTTTTACGGAATATAGATGACCTCTGTAGGCAGATCATTTAAATTGGAGAATACTACTACGGTCAAGTTTATAATTTTTGAGATCATGCTCAAACATGATAAGTTCTTTACTATGGGTTTTCTATGGGTACTGAGACCTGCTCATGACCAAAAGCAAGATTCTAATGCTTTAGCAAATGAAATGAAACATGATAAAAGTTGTAAATATGCAGCAAATGATAGGATATTGATCAGGTATCAAATTGCTCAAGTTGCTTTTCATTAGTTTTATAAATCCGATTACCTAAATAAAACCTTATCCATGAGCATAAGTTGTCCTGTTGAGAAGACATTAATGGACATGACATGATAAATCTGCTGAAAGTCCAATTTTGGTTAAGTTAACCCTTTTTGAGAATATTTTCAAATATGATAAGTTCTTTGCTATGTGTTTGTTATGGGTACTGAAACCTGCTCATGACCGGAAGCAGGATTTTATTGCTTTAGCAAATGAGACGAATGAAACGAAACATGTTAAAAAGTTGCAAATATGTAGAAAATATAGGATATTGATCTGGTATTAAATTGCTTGAGGGATTTTTGCGTCTGAAATAAGAGAACTGCAAACAGAAATGAAGCGAATCTGTATTTTCTTTTCTACTTTTGATTTAAAGAGTAAAATACAACAATATATAGACTGTGCAACTATACAATTGTCAATGTAACCCAGAACAGAAAACAATTAATATGCCTGTCAATCTAATCTAAAATAGGACATTCAGTTTGATTATTAGATCATAATTCCTAATTTAGCTCCTTAATATAAGAAGTTGAGTAAATAAAATCTCCGACACTAGCAATTCCAGCACTTTCTCTCAAGCTGGCTCATGGATGTCAGTCATGCTTAACTTGCTCATCAAGTAGTAAAATATACGTTTCAACAGTCCCTTAGCAAGTACATCAACCGGTTCTTCATTTTCTGGCATAAATGGCATACAAATAAGACCATTTCTAGTTTTTCATTGATGAATTATCTGTTGACCTTCACATGTTGGTTCTCGTGTTGCTCTTTGATTGTTGGCTAGGTTTGTGGAAACTTCATTGTCACAATTGAGCTTCATTGGCGCTTCCTTTTTGATTTTCAACTATTCTAATTATCTTGTTATTAAAATAACTTCACAATTCCTTGAGCAACAACCTTAAAATCTGCTTTTATGCTATAACCATTTCCTACTTCTCCAAGTGACTGGATTTCCAACTGCCATGGTACTGAAACGTGAGGTCGACCTTTTACCATTAACAGATCTAGCTTCGTTACCACCATATATGCCTCAACTCTTCTATGTTTACCCTTTTTGAAGACTAGACTTTCCTACAGTGCATTTAAAATACCCGAGTACTTTATTGATGACTTCCATATGTCCTCCTTGGGACGAGTGCATGAATTTTGCTCACTATGCTTACTATAACATGCTTGTGTGTGATAGATAGCTAAGTTTACCTACTTTGTCGTTCATTATATCACCTCTCTACTTATTTTTTCTCTCGAGTTTATGATTTGGCTTGATTTGAATATCTCGTGGTCAAGCCAAGAATCTCTACATCTTCTAACTAGTTGTACATACACTTTCTTTGAGAAGCTGAAATTTCTCTACTCGAACCATCTCCGTTCGAAGAGAATGCTGTAGTAGACCCAAGTCATTTATGTTGTAGGCATTTGATAGTAACAATTTAGCTGTCAAATGTTGCCGTCATTTTTTCGGGGAGGATAATATAATCTACATGCTCAATAAGAACAGTGATCTTGCCATCCATAGAATGCTAGAAGAATAGGGTGTGATCCACTTGATTTTGGGAGAAGTTGAGGTCTTTATGAACTTTGAAAATCTGTGAAGCCATGCTCTAAGTGATTGTTTTAAGTCGTAGATAGATCTCTTCAGTTTACACTTTTACTTTTCCGTAACAGTTCTCAAAACTTGGGGGCAGCTATATGTAAAATTCCTCATTGAGTTTTCTTTTAAGAGACTTGTTCTTGAGTTGTAGTTGATGATGAGATGAGTTAATATTAGCTGCAAGAGATAGTAGGACCCTAACTATATTTATCTTTGCCACCCAAGCGAGTGTCTCTTGGTAATCAATACCATATTCTTATATCTAGCATATATGTTAGTGTCTATCCTTTTGCAACTAGTGTCACCTTGTCTCTTTCAATAGTTCCTTTGGCTTTTCACTTGACCAGGAAAGTCCACCCAAATCCTATTGAGGTCTTTTCTGTTGGTAGCTCCATGATTTCCCAATACCATTCTCTCCAAGAGCTTTCATCCCTTCAAGCATTGCATCCCTCCACTCCTGAATTTCTAGAGCTTCCTGTTCAGTTTTAGTTATATCCATATTTTCTTTTCCTATTTTGATTTGGAGGATAGGAGATAATACAAATACAAACTCATAGGCTGTAGAAAAAATATTGAAAGAGGATATTACTAAACTATAATTTAATCTAGAATAGGAAACAGTTTATAGAGGATATATTTTTTTTGTCCAGGCCAATTTGCGCGCACCTCGACTAATTCCACGGGTCCCTGAAGTTTACGGTCGGGTACTTACCTCTATGGCCCTGAGGAGACTCGACGTTTATAGAGGATAAAACTATCATGTAATCTAGAACAGGAAACAATTTATATAGTTGTCTTGTAAAGGAAATTAAGTTGAATCACAGACCAACTCCCTAACATAAAGAAATAGACCCCTATCACATCACCCATAACGTTGATTGCTGAGTAATTCAAAAAACATAGAGATGGAAAAAGCAATGAACCTCCCAGGTCTTCTTCCCACAAAAAGAAAAACAGGAAAATGAAGAAGGGGAGGAATAAAATTTCTGAATACCACCATAGCATGTGTTCAGCTCTGCAGCTTCTGCCCATACATGTTCAACACACATCATCATCATGTCCAAACTGCATTTATGTTAAACATCTCTTTACATAACCAACATATACATATATATATACAAACACACATACAAGTGCCAAATGATGATCTGCGCATATCGTAGAAATATCCTTGCATTTTTATCTCGCGCTCAATAAGGGATGCTCTTATTAATGGCCATAAAGCTTACCACCTACAGGAGGACAGATTAACTTGTCCGAGAATAACATTTGTGATACCTGAAGGGTCTGTGAAATGCCTAGTGCCTGTTCTGTTTACATTTTTTGTAAGAGACCGTGATAGACTTTGCCAAAGGTTGTATTTTGCCTATCTGCTGCATGCGGAATGCATGATACAAGAACTAATGTCAAAGAGACACAAATATTGGCGACATAAGTAAATCCATTTTAATATTCAAGGATACCATAATAAAGATGCATAGTATGCTGTTGCAAGGTCACGTCACACACTTCTAACAGAAGTTTTGTTTGTTTCCTTCTATTTTCTAATGACTCCGGAAGTTTATTAGTATTATTCTTTGGAGATAAATCTTCATGTTATTTCCATCTATTGCAATTAATGTGCTAAGCTTTACAACAATTTCAGCAAGCCATTGTGGGAAGTCATAGCATATTTAGTGTCCAATGTACCTTTGCCTACACCTGGGATGGATCGAGTGCTGTTTGCTGTTGAGAATAGCCTACTTGCTGTAGAGGTTCCACCAAAGGACGGGCTTCCTCATGCTGATGTATGTCTTACTATTATAACGTTTCATTCAGGTTTTGTTTAACTAATTTTTGCTTTTAGGATAACTTGATTTATCTTTTCTAACACTATTTGACTAGTCGCTGTCTATTTGGCAGATATCATTCCAGCCTTTGGTCCAGTGTTTGGATGTTGATAATTTTATCAAACTGTTTACAGCTGTATTGATTGAAAGAAGGATTTTACTCCGGTCAAACAAGTATTTTATTTTGCCCTGTTTATAATTTTGCGCAAGTTGGATACGCAAGTGATCTTCTTTTCTTGAATTTAGATATTTTCAAGCATACTTTACCAGTTTCTGTTTCTTTCATATATCGTATGCATTACCTGTTTTGACCATACTTTTACCTTTGCTGCTTCCGTGATTTGAAATATGGTACATGTTTCGGCTCAGTATCCTCGTTCCCCCAATCCAGCCCCACTACCTCCATCACCCACCTTTATCACTGTCAAGATTGAAAAATAGTACTCCTCAATTAGTGCTCCATGCCTCCTTTTTGCTCTAATTTCACGAGTATAGCAAATAATCCTAAATCAATATTTTTCACTGGCATTCTTTCGAGCATTTGATCATTTTTTGGGTCCATTCTTTTGTTGATTCTTTATGCCGTGTCTACTTGGGATTTCCATTCAATTCTTGGAAGTTATGAACTCTTTATGATGATGACTTTGGAAGGGTACTGATGATTGCCTAATCTTTTAGGCATGTATTGTTTTCTAATTTGTTTGTCATTTAAATCATATGACTCACAAGTTATGGACCAATTTTCAGTGGTCAAAAGCTGCTATGAATTCATTTTTGTATTGCATTCTAAGGAAAAAAGATGCAGTTGATTGATTACTCTGTATGTTGAAAAGAATTGTACTCCTGTATTACACTCGACATTAGCACATTGTAACAATATCTAGACTTACAATCCACCATTCAAATATGTTTTATTTCCATTTATATTCTCCCATGAGTTGTATGGCCTTGGAAAAATACCCTATCTTTTACATATGCATCCTGAGAGGTGGTTTGTGTCTGAAATGAAAAAAACTGAACAAATTAGAGTCTAACTTGTTTGCTGATACTTTCACATATTTTACAAGTATGGGAAGTCTTAGTTGAGTTGAGTGGTACATGGACAAGGACCCTTCAATTGTTTTTCTTTATTTTCATTGTAATAAATGGCATGTATTCACCAAGATAATATGTTGCCTAACCTACGTACTTGTAAAGATAATATAATGTATGAAATTTTAGTATAATAAAGATAATAGATATATAACATTATAAATGTACAGCTGCAAAAAATATCCAGATTATAACTGTATTTGAAAGGAATAGTTTCATGTTCCTTCTAATATATATTTACATTTTTTGGTTAATGTGGTGTGACTTAAGAAAAGAACATAAAGGGATAGAATTTGATATTTCTTCAAGAGTAAAAGTCATATCTGAGCTGTATTGTTTTTTTTGATCCTTGGTTTTGGTCACCATCCATCACATATGTGGATATCTAATTTATTACTCTCGTCATCATTGCTTTATAAGCTGAACTTATCAACAGACTTATGAAAAAAAATCGAATTTATACTTAATGTGTTCTCCTTGTCCCTTGCTATACTAACTATGCCCTATGCATGGTTTATGCAGATATTCCGTTTTAACTCTTGTATCGGAGGCCATATGTCATTTAATATATCCATTTCGTTGGCAGGTATGGTTTCTTAGTGTTCTCTTTGATATGTAGCTAGTGAGCAGTGTTGATAATTCAATATTTTAATGTGCCTGTAAATACTAAGATCATTATTCAAATCTATTAGAACTTCCATCTGATCTTTGAATGTTTATTCTTCTGAAGCATGTCTACATTCCGCTACTATTTTTCAGCGGAGTAGACTACATTGATGCTCCCACGCCATATATGATGGGCCTTCATTCAGGTGTTGATACTTATGGACTGATGATGGATGGTGTAAGTCCTGTCTGTGGATTTAATTTTTGAACCTGCATTTCACATGGCAAAGTTTCCTTTTTCTCGTTCTTCTGTTTTTCAAATATTTTCGAATTAATCACCTGTTGTCTGCACGATGTTATTTTACTCTATATATATGATATAATTTTTTTGTTTTCTTATTGTGAGGATGCCTACATTTCACTCATGATGTGTATTTGATGTTCATTTAAGGTATTGCTAAGGCTGTCATGGCTATATGTTCAATCTTCTGAGGCCTAGAAATTCTTGTCCTTTGGGATAGTTTTCTTTGCAACTTAGATGCATTTTCCAACTTATTTGATTTTCAAGAAGATTTTTGCATTGCTTTGATAAATCATATTTAGGATTGCTTGTCCTCAAACAACAAAGAAAAAAAAAGGAAAGGGTTGATATGTGGTGGCTAGGTGGTGCAATTAGAGTATTCGAGTAATGGCTCTTAGATACTGGACTCAGGAGTGCCAAGATGATTTCCGACATATATACATGAGGTCACGAATTACAGCCAATTATTAGAATAAATTACAATATGTAATTCGAAGATGAATAGCTGTAATAGTATGTGTAATGTACATTATGACTTATAATGTCTGCATGAGAAGGTTGTTGTTCGTTGTTGGAGTTATCTATTTACTAACTTCAGTTCTGATTTTTTAAATATAAAACCTAATTTTCTTTACATCCGATGGTCTTCAGATTTATGCAACAATTTTTGTCTTTTTGATACTTCAGTTATTCTTACATAATTTTTTCCTGTAATTTTTTTGTGCTAATAAATGGGAATAGTACCATAGATTTTCAAGCAGCAACCTTTGCCAATCCTCAGAAGTGTTTATTTAGTCAATTGACAATGTTAATTTGATTTTTATTTTGACTGTATCTGTAGCCAAAGAATCTTGGTCCTTGCACAAGTTCCTCTGTTTTAATTGATATCTGGTTCAATACAATATAAATTTCATAGCAGCAAGATATTGTCATGCATATGCTGTTCAATCTAATATCACAATAGTGCTTTACTTAAGATTTAATATTTTCCCTCTAATTTGTTGTAGGTAGTAGTGGTTGACCTTGAGCATAATCGCATCACTACATCAGAGGACATTCCTCCCATACCAGAACCAGAATACAGTTCTTTAAAAGATGAAATTATGAAATTATTGTATCCAAATGTTGTTTTGATAGACCAAATGAAGGATGATTATTTCTCTGAGCAATATCCTAGAAGCAGCAGCAGGCCTTGGGGAGAGGATCTCAACCTCCAACTTAGGTGATTCTTGGTGGCCAACTCATTTTTTTATGAACTCCTCATTGATGGGCTGATATCTATGCCCTAACTGCCTTTAGCCTGGATAGTTGGGTTATTTGTCTCATTCTCGCTCTTTTATTTTACTTGAAGATACTATTAATTTTGGTCAGTAATATAAGAATTGTTCAAGAGTAACACTAGGAGTTATAATAAGGATCATTGCTGATCCGTCTCATAATCCTATGGTCGAAATTTTATGAGTAGTTCAACGCGGTTAGAGATTAGGTTAATGGAAGTTTGTTGTTGAGGTTTCTGAAATATTAAATACCTTTTTTGTTATTTTTACTTTTTTGTGATAGGTCACATGCATTAATATTTTAATCTTTTAATTTACCTGGGTATTTTTTATGTTATATATGATTGTGATCGGTTTAATAGCTATTTTCTTTTGATTGGTTTCATCCCTGTAGTAACCGGATGAATTGGGTTGTTGACATGAAAGGATAAGAACTCAACGGGATTCCTTCTTTGTTTGTTTGATTCGAGGGGAACCATTAGCAAGAATTTTTTTCAGTTGCTTATCATAAGGAGTTATTTTTACTTTATGGTGATAGGTCACATGCATTAATATTTGAGTCTTTTGATTTACCTGGGTATTTTTTTATGTTATATATGATTTTCTAGTTTTCTGAAGTCGATTCTAAGTAGTTGGAATAGCCTGGTGAGCTTATGCTCAGTCATGTATCATGTTATGAAGATACTCTGTTTACTGCAAATGCTACTTCTACTCATTTAATGATGTTTTAGCCTGTCAATGCAGGGTAGCATATGGACACAAAAATCTTACTTTATCTTTTTTGATGTTTACAGGTTCATATTTCTAAAATTCTTTGCATCAATTTTAGGTGGCTATCGCAATTTCATAGTATGAAGCTCATACCTTATGCTTATTGTCTATCAAAGTGTTGATTCAGCAAGTGAACATGATTCTTTTCTTTTTCCAGGAAAATACCGCGACTCATGTCTTCAACACTCAGGCATTCTTGAAGAAGCGATCTCGTTCAACAAACCAACCACCAGATCCAATGGTATGTTTTCATATAAGTATTATAAACCAGTCTTTGCTGACTTTCTTATGATCGCAAATTTAACTTCTAATTGCTTTTTAATATCTAGATGTAAGGTCACTGAGTTATTTATCTTGCTTGTGATTTTAACAGATTACCCAGTTCTTAGACTCCCAGGGTTTCTTAGATTATTTGGAGAGAGGTCTTGGGTCTGAAGAAAACGGCAACAATCTCCTCGATAAGTTACAAGATGCAATTGGCAGGGGTCAAAATCCTTTATCAATTCTTCCCTCACTTTCGGCGGAACCTGAAATTGTAACTATTTCTGATCCTGGTGTGGGAATATCAGGTACAGCTTTGTTTTTTAATGGATCCTGCCTTAATTATCATCAATATTTAGGGAAAACATGTCAAGGTATCTTCATTTAAATGTCGTCCTACTTCATTTTCTTTGGTATCAGGATCGGGTGCAAAATATTGTTATGATAGGTTTCCGTCAAATATCAGAACTGAGGAACAGGAAGAGAAGAGGAAACAGATTCTAGCTGCAGCAAGTGGGGCTCTTGAATTAACTGGAATCCATACTCCTAGGTATATGAAATTATCCCCTATACTGAGATCTAGACTGTTGTTAAATATGTCTGTCCAGTTTGTTTGCTTCAGATTTAACATTTTTTATTGTTTCTTCAACCAGTTCACCTTCGGTGCCTGCTGGTAGAGACCCTAAAGCTGAAAGCTTAAGTCCTAGAGAGAGAGCTGTGAGTGACATATTATATAATGATGATACTTGTGGTTTTTGACCTAACTTTTAGCATGATCTTAAATGGCTGGAATGTTTATTTCCTATAGGCTGAAAGGGAGCGCATGGTGCTGGACATCCAAGTGAAGCTGCAGGTGACATGTTTTCTTCTTTACATCACCTTGTTCTGTTGGTAGTCTTACTGTCAAACATACGTTTCTTTACCACTTTAACTGTTACTTCAACCAAAATTTTCCATTTTCAGCTTGTTTGGCTAGCTTAAAGGTTATTTGAACTTCATATTCAGCTACTTTGTGCTTCCAACACATTTTGGTAGATTATTTTTTTCTTATGAGTAAAAAAAGGTTACTTATTTTCACGGTAAGACTGATATTACTTTAAATTATTCTAACTTTTTAATAAAAAAAAGGAAACGAAAAACAAATCAGGATGCCAAGATAGCAGTGTATTCATACTAAGATGGATAAGATCCTATAGAGGGGCTGCCCAACATCATGTCTTTTCTTTCTTGTTTAAGTTGATAATACACTTCCTGTGTATTCTTTTTTGATTAATAAAATTATTTGATTACCTATAAAAAAAAAAAAATACTAAGATGGATAAGATTAGAAACGAGGATATACACACCTACAAGTGGATGTGGCGCCTATTGATGATAAATTAAGGAAGATTTAGGTGGTTGGGTCATGTTTGGTGTCGACCTGAAGAGTCCCTTGTCGACAACAGTGACATGATTTTTGTAGATCAATGTAGGAGAGGGAGGGGTAGACTAAATTAATGGATCAAGTTCCCTTAGATCTCCCTGTAGATTTAGCAATGAAGAATAGCGAAGAAGGATTTATGTAGCCGATGCCAAATTTATTGGAAATAAGGCTTAGATTGTTGTGATATTTTATACATAGCTATTTACTTACAGGTAAACTAGAAATTAAATTTATTAAGCTTAGCCAAACACACTTTGTAGTGTCTTTTGTTATCATTTATGCTATAATAAGAATTTTTTTTACCACTTTATTGTAGTACTTATATGTTTAAGTAGATCTTGTGGGTACATTTGTATAAGATGTGATCCAACTTACATGGACTTGGCACTTTGGGGCTCCATACCTGGGTCAACACAAAATGAGACAAACATTGGTGTGGAATGTGCTTTGGATTCAAAACTTGGTTGATAGAAGTTATTGATACTAGTGTTTCAAAGCTAAATATCATGTTTTGTTTTCTATTTGTGATTGCAAATGAATTTCTTTCATTTGAAATTTGCTGGTTTCCTTTTTTATTAGGGGTTATGGTTACGTCTTTTGAAATTGGGAGCAACTGATGATCCTCTTTCATCATTTGAGTATGGAACTATCCTTGGTATGCTCTCATGACTAGACTTATTTTCATCATATTTTTTGTGGGAATAGTATTGTATCATTATTGGCGTCGGAATTTTTCTTGAATGTTTGGTCCGAAAGGGCGTGGGTTCAAATCCCACTATCAACAAGTACATTTTACATATCAATTTTTTTTTTCTTGAATGTTTAAGGATGTACCAATTCACTGTCATAATCTTATTGATTTATTAGCTTTGATTGAGTCTGATGCTGAGGGAATTGGAGGCAGTGGTTTTGTTGAATGTATAAGAGAGCACATTCATTCGGTATGTTCTCTCAACTAGTACATATTGATGCATTTCTTGCATGTTGACGTTCTTCTCTTTCTTATATTTAGTTTTTCCACAGGGATGGACCTGTCAATTGACTGATGAGCAGTTTATTGCCGTGAAAGAACTGGTTTGTTTAGCTTATATTTTTTGAATTTGAATGAAAGACTGAACTGTGTTTCTATTTACAACATAAACACAATTTACTATGTCAAAGTATTTTCGTCTACTCTTTCTATTCATTACATTGCATTCATCTTCCAACGATGGATCTTTTTAACTTCTATTAAGGGGGATACATATTACTCTCTGATCTAACTTTAGAAACAAAAGGTTTATTATTTATTTATTATTTTTACTTTTTTGTGAGATGGAACCGCTTCCAATCTATCATGGGTAAACCTTAAGATTTTAACGGAATTACTCCCGTCACTATATCTTTTTTAACATCATATAATACATTTTAGTTGATATATTTCATAAATCTAAAATGAAGGAAGGATTTGCAATCTCTTTTAGCAGGCTATATATGGAATTTTCTTTCAATTCTCACAATAAGCTACAGATGAAGTCCTTACCCTTAACAACGCATAAATTACCAGCTAGAAAATAGTAAAACTCAGAGGCAAAAAGATGACGGGAATTATAGAAAAACATCACATATTCAGTCCATAAATGCTGACTATCTCAGGCACAACCTTAGCACTATTCTTCCATAGAGTTAAAAGTAAAACCCAGCTGACAGGTTTATAGAGAAAATAGCAGTTCACACAAAACAGTATCTGAAGTTTCCACTATTCAAGTGAAGCAACTGATTTATCTAAATGACTCCTTGCTAGCACCACAACATATATCCATGGACTGGTGCTGTAGGCCCAAAGCATGGTTCACACATCAAAATTATACTCTACTATTTGGATACTTGATGCTCCATTCAAACAGGCCCCTTTATGTGCTAAGCGCTTCGCACTTGAACTGAAACCAATTATGTTGACGTAAGATGTACACAAACTACTATCAAAATTTGTGGTACCTTCAACAAATTCAAAAGGAAAAATATAGCGTATAAAAATTAAAAATAGTTGCAATATATACTAGCAACCAAAGATAGCATATGTGCAATTTTTTAATCTAAATACAAAGTATAGTTTGCATTGGTGGAACATTTGAAAGGTTGTGCTTGATAGTAATTCCTTTGGTGAAACTACAGCTCAAAACAGCCATTAGTCGTGCTACAGCTCGTAATGACATGGCAACTATTAGAGACGCCCTTGAAGTGTCTGCTGAGATGTACAAAAGGGACATGAACAATGTCTCTGACTATGTTCAGCGACACCTTCGCTCTCTTTCTATCTGGGAGGAGCTACGGTATGCATCTATCATCTTGTTGTATACAGTATATCTTTCTTCAAAACTATTTTTACCCTATGCCCCTGTTTGATGTAGACTAAAATCAGATTTTTAGTAGATTTTATTAAAAGTTGATGAAATGTGTGGTTGAAACGTTGTGAGTTGCATGAATTAATTATAGATTTCGACTTGATATTAAAATCAGATTTTTAATCTATTCCAAACAGGGGGCTATATGTTTCTATCTTCATCAATTTGATGGAAAAACATTCCCTTCCATTCGTTTGCATGTCCTTTTTAACTTGTCTGGCGGTTTAGTATAACCCAGATATACTTCAGTCAAATCACTGTTTAATTTTCATTATTTTGAAAATGTGGAGCATGAGTGCATATTTTTATGTACTTTTCTTTGTATAGTACTTTAAAATAATGATTTTGTTTCATATTGAGTAGTAGTGTGAAATTAGGACGAGTATGTACTTTTCTTTGTATAGTACTTTAAAATAATAATTTTGTTTCATATTGAGTAGTAGTGTGAAATTAGGACGAGCTTTTTAAACATACTGTTTTAAAATATGTCTGTTTGCTTAATAATTATGCAACTTGATGATAAAAGACATCTACACCAAAAAGCTTTTGACTAACATATCGATGCTTTTTGCAGCTTCTGGGAAGGATACTTTGACTGTCTACTGGACCGATTTTCTAACAAGTAAGGATTTCTTCATGTTGATGCTTCATTTCATTTCAGCTGAACTGTGCCAATCATATGTTTCATAGTGTAATATTAGTAAATTCGTTTCTTCTGCTGCCCCCATTATGGGCTCCCTGTCAACAACCTTCCTTTTGAAGTCTAGTAAGCCAGTATCAGACAAAAGCCTCTTATAACGCCCCCGTCTGAGTTATGGTGTTTCTTTCGACATCTCTGACCTAAATCCTAGTCATACTTTAAGGTCAGTGTAAGAATTATGGGGGCAGGGGAACTGGTTTAGGAGATCTGAATTGATTGAAAATGGGGGTAGGGGTTTGCCACCAGAGATGAAACTTGGAGGATGCTAGATAAATGGCTTTTGATCGTCTCTGGAAGGCAGCAAAACGGAGCTAGGGATAAAAACCAACATATCGTTATATGACATCTACATTGTATAAGAATATTTAAGGCTATTACAGGTTGAAACATTTGCTTTACCTTCCGTAGCTGCCATTATACTGCAAGCAGAAATAGTGACCCAAGGAGAGGGTTTGATTAATATACTTTGTCAAAAGTACATTAAGGAAAAGAATAGACAAAGAAATATTGCCGTGACACAAAAGTCGTACTTCGACTCTCAGAATCTTTGGATGTAGAAGAGGAAGATGGTGGTTAGGGCTTCTAGAGAAAGAGATGAAGGGGGATATGTGAGTTTCATGTTATCAGGGTTGCACTCTCAGCTAAGGCTAGTAATACGTGAAAAGCCAACAGATCATTACATAACATCCACATTGTAGAAGGTTATTAAAGGTCCAATAATTGCCTATACCTCCTGTAGCTCCCATTATCATGTTAGCAGGAATAGTGACCCTGGGAGATGGTTTAGTTAATATAATTTGTCAAAGTTATGTTAAGGTAACGAGTAGAAAGAAATATTGCCGTGACACACTAGTTTCACTCCGACTTTGGATCTTTGGATGCAGAAGAGGAAGATGATCATGTGGTGGTTTGATATAAGTTTAAGCTCTTAGAGAAGAAAAAAGGGATTATTTATTTATGTTTACATCTTCAACATGCCTCCTTGTGTTTGGGAGAGTCATTATTCGACACTTCAGAATTCTTTTCAAATCAATTTGGAAGTCCTTATGTAGTTGGGAAAGTACCAAAAATCACATCGAGAAAGATCTTCCTTTCCATTGTTAAGACAACAATGCCATTTGATGAAATTTCTCTCTTATTTTGTGTAGGCCACTTTTACTTTTTGGGTGAACTACCATTTACATATTTATCCTGATGTATTAAAGCAGTCACTCAAATATAATCATATGCTCGGTAGGAAGAGAAGTCAAGACTGGAAAGAATGAAAGTAAAAGGTCTATTATCACAATTCTTTTATGCTATTGCTACTATTATTTCAGGTCAACCAATTATGCAACATTGGTAACAACACAACTTATCATTGTCGCGACACATATGGTATCTTTTGTCCCTTATTTCCTCATTTAACTCTGTTCCTGTTTGTTTTTGACTAAATTCTCTTTTCTTTACTCTCTTGAAGGCTGGTTTAGGACTTACTGACACTGATGCATGGTACATGATCGAAACCATTGCCGGGAAGAATAATGTTGGCTATAAGCATCTTGTAAGTCACATCATATTTCAAGTCCATCACCTTCAGCTTTTTTATGTGGTGCAGATAGACACAATACATATTTTTCTCCTCGAGTCCTGATGATAATAATGGTCCGATTGTAGAAAGTGGGCCAAACTTATGAAGCATTATGAACAAAAGTATGATCTTTGTAGAAAGTGGGTTGATCCACTCAATTCAAGATATGATCTTTGTCGAAGGTGATTTGAATGTTTAAATGACCATGCTCTGATACCAAGTAGAGAAATTGATTGTTTTATTTCTCAATGATGGTACAATGCCACGAGTTACAATTTATAATACAAAGGAAGCTGTAAAAAGGAAACTTCAAATCTCCTAAAACTAGTAAGAAATCAAATAATACTATACAACACTAATTATGGAAGGAAATAATCTTTAATCAATCCTGCCTAATTATCGCCTTCCTTCTTATTTGATGTGATCCGGTTTTCCACAAAACATATCATGCTTTCTTAAAGAGATTGAGATATTTATGTTTAATTATTTGTAAAAAGTGTCTAGTCATAAGATTAGAGTAGATTGGGTCAAATACGAAAGTGTTGCAAGAATTCTTTGATCTGGATATACCAATTAAAAAGGCAAGTTCTATAGAATGTCTATGAGACTGACCGATATGCTTTATATAATATAGTGTATGACCGCTAAGACAATATCTGTAAGATATATTAATATGCAATTATAACGATACTAGAATAAATGAAGAAATGTGGATACACGTCAATCAAGGTAAGTGTAATTTAGATGGTAGATTCATGTCTTGAGTGCATTTAAAGATTCTTTCTCTCGCAAGTATGAGCACAAAGATTTGATTGTATAGGACCTTTATAGTAGATATAAACTTGGATCAGATGGAGAAAAGGAATTCACGAGTTTACCGGGAATCAAGTGTAGCTTTTTGTTGCCTGTTTTATTTAGATTTCATCATTGCACTTCTATTGAGTGGTAGGACACTGCTTGAGCTAACAGCTAGTTGATGAAAATAATTCAGTGAATACGTTTTTTATGAATATTTGTGGCAAGTAGCAACAATAATTTATATCTCTTGCATCTGTTAAATACCTGATTACTCCATATCAAAGCTTTCTAGCATCCGGAAAATATCTGATTTGTACACAAGGCTACACAGTAACTTTTGTTTGCCATTGCAACTATATGGTATGTGGAACTGGCTTTCATGTGTTTAAAGAGATGAGGTAATCTGTTCACTCTGCTTTTGGACCCTCAGGGCTTAGGTATCTCGTCTCAAATTGACTGCCATCCATTGACATGGGACAATTCATAGAAATGAGAGTTTATAAAATGCTTCGATCTCATGTGTTCAGTTTGCCCCATGATTCGTGACATAAAGGAGATTTATGTTGCTCTTATATTTCTAATTACAAATATATAAAAGGAGCACGTGTCCATTTAATTGGATTCGAAAGTTAGATGTACGTCTATAATAACGAGGATACTTGGAGCACTTTTAAGTTATCCACTAGGATATCAAATTTAAGGTGAAAGGAGCTAGTCTACAGTTAATAGTTGGCCTTCTCCCCTAACAGCTTTACTAGTGATTGTTCTGTAAATTCCTTTCCTCTTTCTACTTACCATTTCTACGATTGTCTAGATTGCTTCCTATGAATAATTTTATGTGCCTGTTGCATTGGTATAATGTGAATCAGATAAAGCTTCGGGGATTTCTATCACATATTCGGAAAATATGCATTGGGTATTGGGGAATGCATTCTGTCAAATCTCAATCCATGTCTTCATATGGATTACCTTCTCCACGTTCACAAGATGCTGCCGATGGCACTCAGCAATCTGCTGAGGCAACTGGTGTTGGAAGGAGCTGGGTTCAGAGCATGTTTAGCAGGGATACAACCTCTAGAACCAGCTCTTTTAGTCGTCCCTGTAAGTTGACCTCTGATAGTGGCAGTTTAGTTACATATTACATTTTAGAAGTGAATGCAATATAAAGTATTCTGTTGTATGACATGCTTCATTATTTACTGATTTCAGTATCAAATGAGAATGGGACTCTTCACAGGGATGTATCCACGGCCGGGCAGAAAAAAGTGCAAACTAATATTCGAACACTAAGAGGTCATAGCGGAGCAATCACCGCTTTACATTGTGTAACCAAAAGAGAAGTGTGGGATTTAGTAGGTGACCGTGAAGATGCAGGATTTCTCATCAGTGGAAGTACAGACTGCACGGTAAGATCTTCTATCTGCGCCTTGTATACCATTATGCTCACGAGCAGTATATCCACGTCTCTATCTTCCAACACATTAAGATAAAGAGATGGGGAATAAGAGATGGGGAATGTCTCACACTCCATCTCTGAATGCAACTATGAAGAGCATTTTTGTACTTTCTAATTTTCAAAATGTGCAGGTTAGGATATGGGATCCAAGCATTCGCGGTTCAGAACTCAAAGCAACTCTGAAGGGTCACACTAAGTATATTTCGTACATTCTCTATTTTATGGGGCAGGCTAATTTACATGCATGCATACGCACACAAATATACTTTTAGCAGCAATCATTTGTGTTTTTGTTTATTTATTGAAGTCTATGTTACCGTCTCTTTCTTCGCAGAGCTGTTCGGGCAATAAGCTCTGATAGAGGAAAGGTGGTATCCGGATCAGATGATCAGTCTGTGCTTGTGTGGGATAAGCAGACAGCTCAGCTACTAGAAGAACTAAAGGGCCACAATTCGCAGGTTTGGTTAGGGCATTTCCTACATTGTACTCTTAATTCCTCTGCATGTTGAGAAGTGCCTTTTTGGTTTTTTCAATGAATTTGTTAGGTCTTCCCAAAACTTTCCATCAGAGCTATAATATGCAAAAATTGGAATAACAGAAATATAAAAGAAAAAGAGTTACATCACTTGCATTGATGAAGAGGATCATGGATTGAGCTTATTATGCTTTGATTAAGTATTAGATGTAAGTTCTGTACATAATTAAGCAATGTTATCCATACAACTGATATAAGGTTGAAATATTCTGGAAGATTCCCTCAAACTTTCTCAGATCTAATAAGTAATAACAGTAGCTGTGAAGAAAGAATACATCTTTTATGCAACCCAAGGCTTTCAGCCAATTTTTAAACACTCTTTAGCCGTGTTCTTTCTTTTTTTTTTTGATAGGTAATCACGTAATTTTATAAATAAAATCAAACGATAATACATTATCAGTTTAAACAAGATAGAAACGATAAAAAATTCGGCAACCCTTCTATCGAACTAATGGTTATAGCCTTAAACCAACTATACAAAGTCAAATAAAACAATGCCCTAAATTACTCCGCCGTCCGTATTTGGTCTTCAAAGCATTTGCCGTTTCGTTCTCTCCACACACACCAAATGACGCATCTCAGAATGAGATCCCACACGAGCTTGCTATTCTTATCTCGAAACTTTCTCTTCTATGCCCACACCACCTCTTTGACAACACCTAACTCATATGTTGCGAAGCCAGAATATCATTTCACATCCAACGAACACCGTCACAATGAATGAACAAATGATCGATCGTCCCGCCATCCCTCTTATACATATAGCACCACTCCGTAATACAATAACCCTTTATTCTAAGATTATCCGCCATTAACACCTGTCCCCTCACTACCGTCCAAAATAAAAAAGCCACCATTGGAGGTAATTTACTTTGCCAGACCCTTTGCCAGGGAAATGAGCTCTCAACAGGTTCCAATAAGGATCTGAAATAAGTACGAACAGAAAACAAATCATTCCGTGCCGCCCTCCACCTGCTACAATCTTCCTCTCCCACTTGAATGTGCGCATCATACAGAGAGGCCAAAACAATGCATAGTTATCCAGTTTCCAATTATGTAAGCCCCTCCCGAAAGTAATGTTCCAGCTAGGATTCCCTTTAGATATAACCATAGCATCACTCACCATGGTTGAAGGCTCCAAGGCAATGCGATGTAAAGAAGGAAACCGCACTTTTAATGTTTGATCTTCACACTAACAATCGTCCCAAAATCTGATATTCGTCCCGTTCCCCACTACAAAAGCTAATCTATTCTGAAAATCGCTTCATCCTTTCCTGTTATACTTCCACAAGCTCATCCCATAAGAACTACGACCCTCACCCGAGCGCCCCCCTCCAAGATACCATACTTCACGCCAATAATTTCTCTCCAGAAGCTTTCCCTCTCCATTCCAAATGGATACAACCACTTGCCCATCAATGCTTTGTTAAATAAAACAAGGCTCCTCAATCCAAGACCCCCCACCCTAACAGAAGAACAAACATCACCCCATTTGACCAAATGAAACTTCCTCTCTTCCCCCAACCCTGCCCAAAGAAAATCCTTTTGCATCTTCTCCAAACTATTTGCCACTGCAACGGGAATAGAAAACAAAGATAAAAAATAGGTTGGAAAATTAGAAAGCGTGAATTTAATGAGAGTAAGTCGGCCTCCTTTTAATAGATAAATACGCTTCCAGCCCGCTAACCTCCTCCTCATCCTTTCAAGAATACCATTCCAGATATGTTTACTTTTAAACCTCGCACCTAATGGAAGCCCAAGATATGACATGGGCAATTGTGCGACTCTGCATTCGAGTGTGGTCGCTAATTCCTCCACATTAGCAACCTCCCCTACTGGAATAACCTCCGCTTTCCCCATATTTGCCCTCAAACAGAAGACTGCTTCAAAACACAGAAGCAAGCGGCGCAAATTCCTAATTTGCATATCTTCTGCATCACAAAAGATCGGTGTGTCGTCTGCAAATAACAAATGGGAGACCTGTAGATGAACAACTGCAAAACCTCTTAACAAACCTCCGTCACAGCTTTCTCAATCATTTTACTGAATGCCCCATCACAATAACAAACAACAAGGGTGACAACGGATCACCTTGTCTTAAACCTCTACTATTCCGGAAGTAACCTTCAGGGTTGCTAACTAAAACTGAAAAACGAAACCGTAGAGATACATAACTGAATCCACTTACACCACTTATCCTGAAAGTTGCTTCGCCTGAGTATATACATAAGAAATCCCCAATTGATACCCCGAGTATTTTTCATTCATATCCATCCCCATAATCTCTTCTCCCTCGTCATCTCCACTGCACTCTACATCATACCGTACCTGATTCCCTCTGATGGACTCAATCATCACCTGCATTTCTTTAGTTTGAAACAAGTTTGATTGTATCTCCTTAGCCGAATACTCAGACATACCAGCCCCGCACTTATGACAACAAATCATCTTGGAGCCCTCTAGAGCGCCACCTCCCAGTAGCCTCAACAATTCATCCACCTCACCTTTCAATCCCTGGATACGAGCCTTTATTTCAGCATTACTCAATGAACTGTCTAGAGCACCTTCTGGCCTTCAACTTATGCATCAAAGGATGACCCTCGCTATCCTTTTGTAACGGCACCGGCTTTTTTGTATTCTGCTCGACCTGTCGGTTTGCCGTAACTGCAGCGTATGTCTTCCCTTGTTGATTGTTGACTTTAACCGTTTGACGCTCAACTTTGTCTCTAGTGACAAAAAAATCGACAACTGCCTGAAACATTCGCTGCATCGACACCCATCCCTCTCTGTTCGCACCTTCCGGTACCATCACCACTCCTTTACGACGCCTCTCCCCATATTATGCTATCGTCAGATACCTGCCTCGACTGTTACCACAACGCTGTGCCATAAAAGCTCTCGATGACTCAGTAAACTTAGCAATAAACTCCTCTTGCTTGCTTGCCCCCCTCAATTTATCAATCATATTCAACATCCACAAGGTACCAAACCTCCCCATATATATTGCATTCGATGTTCTCGGTCCCCATTCGGTCAACCTCACAATGCCAGATTCAGTAATAGACACAAAGAAACTCCTTTGCTTCCATTCCAACTCGAAGATGAAACTCCTTTGTACCAAACAAATCCGCATGCCGTTGAAATGGTGCATCCGACAGTAGAACAGGGGGTTGAAATGACATGGGCAGATCACACACATGCTGCTGTCTGCCCCACGCGCGCCACCAGGGAGAAGCGCCACCTTCGTCGGGGTCGGAATGGCATGGGGAATCGTCCAATCAGGCGCGTGGTCCCTGGAGGTGGACGGAGCAATGGCTATTTCCGGATCTTGAGCGGCAGCGCTAGGGTTTGTACCTAGGGCTGCTGCCTGCGAGTGGCTTCTATGGTCGGGTTGGCTATGGTTTGTTGGCGTGAAGCCGGTTTTTGGTGGTGGATGTAGTAGGTTGGTGGCTAGTTCGCTGGGTTTGGATGTTAAAGGAGTGCTCTCCATTCGGGAGGGAGTGTGGGCAGGAGCTCAAATTAGTTCATGATATTAGTAAGCGTGGTCAGTTCTCAGTTCTTTAGCCGTGTTCTAAAAGGCATAAAAAGGTTCCACCTAGTCGCGAGGCCTTTTTAAAACTCCCTGCATATGGGCAAGGTGTGGAAAAAGGTGGTCAACTCCTCTTTTGACCCTCCTAATGCGAGCTTGGGCGCCAAAAGGTGTGCGCCTTTTTAAATCTTTTTTCCAATTTTTTTGCAGCCATTTTTTAGGCCTAACGGCTAATGTAGGCCTCGATACTAAATTAGTGCGGGTGATTTCTTGGACCCATTTAACTCAAAAGGGTCATATGCTTTCAAATTTCAATTGTTTAGTTACAGGAATTATTTAGTAATTATAGTATTTAACATTTTAGTTGTTTGTATGCATTATTTTATGCTCATAGAATAATTAATAATTTTAAAAATAAAAAAAAAGCTTTTTTATGCCTAGGCTAATAAGGCTTGACCTTGCTGCCTTGCCATGCCTTTTAGAACAATGCTAAAGTTGACATTTTGTGAGATCAGTTCGTCTTTAGTTATCTCTTGAAGCCGAGTTAAGTTCAGTTCACCAATCATGACTGATCTTGCATTGACTTTGAGTTTGGCAATCTGTTTCAATATGTTTAAAACCGTGATTTGAGTTGGAGGGAATGAGCCTAACACGCTCAACTTTTCTTCACACATACATCCTTTTGCACTTGTGGTGTAAAAGTATACTTAGATAGCCTTTGGACGTTTATATTGTAACTACTCTTGATTTTTAATTTGTATAGTCCTCTCCTGCTTTTACATAGATGGTACAGAAACTTTGGAACAGTTGATTGGTCATATGAAATATCTAAAATATTAACTTATTGCACATTTTTTAAATTGATTTCGACTTTTGATGCATAACTGCTACTTCTGCTTTCATTTATCAATGTTTTTCTTAGGCCCTGTTTGGTCCACATTATTTTTTTCATTCTCATTCTTCTACTCATTTAAACTACACATTCTTCAATAAAATAATATTTTTCAGCACATCAATAACTTTTCCTTCTTTTTCAACCACATATTCTCCATCACATCAACAATAAAAATACATTCTTACTTTCAAAATGTGCACCAAACGAGAGCTTAGTCCTTTTTTGTCCATTCTCTTATTGATTTCATTGAGGGAAAAAATGAAAAATAAATTGAAGATTTAGGTATATCCGTGATTTTTTTTTTTTTTTGGGGGTTCTGACTCTTAGTGCTTGTTTGGATTTACTTTTAATCACATTATAACTTAAAAGGTCAAAGTCACTTTAATTTTTAACTACACATTTCCATAGGACCCACAACTATTGTTTACTTATTCATCACTTATTTCTGCCACATTTAATTTCAGCAACTTATAATTTCTCCCAAACAAGCACTTATAGTGCACTATTCTTGCTTCACGTGTTTATAGGTATTTGAATCAAATTTAGTATCTCAAACAAAGTAAGCGAATTTTTGAATATGTAGTAGCAGATCTAATGTTTGCCAATTGCAAGAGCATTCTTCAAAAACCAATAATTCTTGGGTGATCAGTTTTTTTGTGTTTAATTTAATGCTGATGATTTCAGCCTTTTCAATTACCTGTGATTATTTCTTGCTCCTAATTAAATTCATGCATACGCAAAACACAAAGAAATGCATCTTTTGAAGGTTGCCATATGCTTAAATTTGTTGAACTTTGCCTGATTTTATTTGATTCTTTTTTCCCTTTCTTTTTCTCTGGTTTATATAATGATCATTTCAGGTTGAAAATTTTAATGTCCACACTTGTGGTTATAATGCACTAGGTTAGTACCGAATTGTAGACTATTGTGGCGAAATATATTCGTCATTAGACATTTTTAGTTACTCAGAAGCACCTTTTTAGTTACTCAGAAGCTCTTTTAGATTCCAGAGAACCTAAAAGATGAAGGATAAGATTTCATTTTGCATCCACCTACCACTGAGCCCCCAAATTACTGAGTTGTGATAGGACTGCAGTTAAGATCTTTAATAATTCCTTCAGAAAAATTTCCTTCAAATGACACCTTTGGTCCATGTGTAGGTTTGAAGGTATAGCCATTTATTATGATGGTCATGTAATGAGATGACTATGTGTACTAATATTGATGGGGGGCATTTTAGAGAAAGTTATTGACTTAGTGGGTAATGTAGTAGCATTGCTGTCTGCGATGTCATTCTAAGGAGGCAGTTGGAAGTATTATCTGCAGCAGTTGCTCATGTCTTCCTGGCCATACAAGTTTATTTATTTGTTTTCTTACATATCTTAATTGCTATTTCTGAAGTAGATAACACGTGGTTGGAGGAATGAAGCTGTTGTTCCTATTTAATTTTTTGCTACAGAAAATTGACATGAAAGAGAACAATGGTGGGATCTGAACATCAATATTTTGCTATCAAAATGATTAATCATTAGACTCTGGAAACTGTACTCATCTGCAACTTCAACTTCCATGGAATTAGGTGTAGTTATGACTTATGATGTCCAACTTTTTGACATCAGTGAATGACTCTAAAATCAAGCATTTCTTTATCAGATCATCATTTGTGTTTAGTTGCCTGTAGACATGTTTATACTTCCATATGATGGGTATGCCCCCATATTCTTTATATCTTAAGATCATTATGGTTGAATTTTATCATGCATCCTACTAGGTCAGCATTGTGCGCATGCTCTCGGGTGAACGTGTTCTCACAGCTGCACATGATGGGACTGTGAAGATGTGGGATGTAAGGACTGACACTTGTGTTGCTACTGTGGGTCGTTGCCCAAGTTCAGTTTTATGTATGGAATATGATGACTCCACAGGAATCTTAGCTGCTGGTGGCAGGGATGCGTACGTTACTGAAACTTATTATTTAAAGTTTGTTAGATGCTTCTGAACTATGTCTTTATTAGCATCTTCTGTAAATTACGGATTATTTTTCATGTCTCTCATTTCCAAAAGGCTTGACTTGTTCACTTATCCATTTTAAGGGTGGCAAACATTTGGGACATTCGTGCTGGAAGGCAAATGCACAAGCTTATAGGCCACTCAAAGTGGATTAGGTGATCGTTGGTTTTCTTCGTAAACATTTACCTTTGCTTCATATCATAGTTGTGGTAATCATAAACATGCATTGGTCAATACACAGGTCAATCAGAATGGTGGGAGACACAATAATAACAGGAAGTGATGATTGGACTGCCCGGTTATGGTCTGTTTCTCAAGGAACGTGTGATGCTGTTTTAGCTTGCCATGCTGGTCCAGTTTTGTGCGTTGAGTACTCTATGTCAGATAAAGGAATTATAACAGGTCTACTTATTCATGCTTGCATGGTCGTTTTTCAGAGTTTGTCTCAGGTTTTTGTATTGCCTAAAATATAAATACTAATCAAAGTGCATGAAATTTGTCAAATATTGTTCTCTATTTTTCAGGTTCAACTGATGGACTGCTTCGATTTTGGGAAAATGATGAGGGTAAGAATACTATATTTACTTCTCTAATGCATGGAGGAAATATCATGTGTACAAACTTGTTGAAAACCTTTTACAAGTGACAAAATCCATCAGGTCTTGATAGACACTTGCAATCATCTTAAAACAGCTTGTTTTGTTTGAACAATGTGGGTAAATTTTATGGCTTCATATTGGAGGAGGCACTGATTGTCTCCACTTTTATTGTTTGATGGTCTCTATACATCTAATTTACGCAAATGACATCTTTTTGGCATGTCAATTTTCTGAACCATTCATAGTAAGGATAAGCTTGTTGATGTTGTAAAATTAAAATCTTCCCGCACTTGTTTTTGTATGGTATTAAACTGTTTATTTGATTTTTATGACGATAGCTACCAGGGGGATCGAGTCCACTAAGTGACTAAGATAAATTATTTGCTCGATTCATTTATTCCCAGCCTTTGGTTCTGAAGCACGGTTCCATAAATAGAATGCTGGTTTATTTTTAAGGAAACAGTAGGAGATACATTGTCAGGGCTGTCTTGTTGATGATCAGTGATCACCTTTTGTGGCTGGTGGCCTCAGATTGGTACCACTTAGATTGGACCAACCAAGTGGTAGATGCCATATGTCACTCCATACACTTGTGCATGTAGTAATTTCATGTAACTTCTTATTTTTTCCATCTAGGGTTTCATCTCACACACATGGCTCATAGAATTTAAATGTGGTAGTTAGTACCTCTGCACGATAGTATCAAGGCTTATGGTCCCCTATTGAGTTTTTTAAGGACCAGAAATAGATCATAAAGTACGATTTTGAAATATTGTAATAATGATTGGAACTGGATAAATTTAGTGTACGCCTAGGATACTGTCTGCTTTCATTTACCACCATCATTGGCTTTGTCTGTCTCCCAAACATTCAGGAATATTTGACAATCTGGAAGGAGAATGGATTGGAGATTGGCTATTGGCATCTCAAACTATAGTCTCCTTCATGAGACTTTTTCACCTTGATCCTCGATGCTGTGTGCATTAGAGCTTTTAGACTTTTGCTAGTTCCTGTATAAATAAAAAATAAAGTTTTAGTTTAAATCAGCTTATACGTCTTTGTTGTAAAGGGTCCTATCATTTGAAAAGGTACATGTTATAGATACTTGGAGGCTAAGCACAAGATGTTTTTCATTGTTTGATCTAAAGGTTCACTTTTCAGTTCTTGTTCTTTTGCTTGAAGCCGGGCATCTAGAAGAGATACTAGATGTTGTTTTATGAGTTGGCATGTCATTAATTGAATAATTTGTTTGTGGTTCATGCATCTGCCTGCCTTCATGGGGAGAGACTTTGAGGTGGTTCATTCATCCTCCCAATGTTTAAAACTCAAAGAATCAGGGACTTATGGGCAGCTATATTGTCATGGACAAACTATCACCATTGCATATGCATTGGGCCCATTTTTTTCTCTTTTGTTGGTAGAACAAGGAGTGTGCTGTAGAGCAGAAGTTTTAAAAGCAAAATTTTCATTACATTGTTGTGGGTATTCCAGGAGAGATCCCAAGACTTTTGTTTCTTGTTTATCCATAAAATAATTTGATGTAGTGTTTGATTTTATGTGAGACCATTTTTTGTTTTTCTATGATACAAGGTCGATGAGTTTACTGTTCTTGTTACGATCTTCTTCTTCTTTTTTTTTTCCTCTCGGATTTGTTATACTCGGATTATTAATAATCATCAGAAACTGAAGCGTTGGTGGTTGTTTATCTTTGTTCCTCCTCCATGCTTAATTTTTACCTAATTTAAGATATTTTCCTTGATATATCACTTTACTCTCAATTTCTCATGTTTGACTGAAATTATAACTTTTTATTATCTAAAACTCATATTGTTGATAAATGTGACACTTAATTGTCACGTTTTTAACATGCATAGACCACATCAATGAGATTATCTTCTTCTTAGCTCTCTTTGTATGATGGAAAAAATGGTCTGTCTTTATAATATTAATGCTTATTTTTCCTGTTCGTAGGTAGTATAAGATGTATCAAGAATGTCACAATTCATACTGCTTCCATATTGTCTATCAATGCTGGTGAACACTGGCTTGGAATAGGGGCAGCTGATAACTCGATGTCCCTTTTCCATCGGCCTCAGGAGAGAATTGGTGGTTTATCTAGCACAGGTTCTAAGATGGCTGGATGGCAACTCTACAGGACTCCACAAAAAGCAGTTGCAATGGTGCATATTTTCTTCCCATTTATTATTTTTCCATTGCTGTCAAGGCATTCAACCCTTGATTTATGGTTATTTCTGATATAGTATAATTAGCCAAATCTGGACACTGGCCTTTCTTGTGTCTCTTGTGAATTTGTCTCCGGTGTTTCTTCCAGTTTTTTTGCTGCATAACCTGACTCTATGGTGTTTTCTCGAGTATTTGNGGTGTTTTCTCGAGTATTGGGTGCATGACACTTGTTAATAACCTGAGGTGGAGCATCACTGAACATGGGGTGGGCCTATTGTTCAAGGACTAAGGGGGTTGGCCCCTTGGGCCTGATCATAGATGATATAGAGCACGTTTAAGCCTCTCCTATTCGATATCTTTTGGGAAAACTGGTTGTATTTCCCTACTTCATAATCTAAGTGCACAAGTTTTATCTTTTGTATACAAGGATCCCGATTACTTACTAGTTTTTGCATTTATTTTGATGTTTTCAGGTAAGGTGTGCTACTTCAGACCTTGAAAGGAAAAGGATTTATACAGGTGGGCGTAATGGGCTACTTAGATTGTGGGATGCAACTATTAACATCTAAGTTCCTCTTCTCTGTGTTTGTTGTTGTAACTTTGAAGCATACTTGTGTATGTGCTTAGATTTTTGTTAGAGGAGAAGTATTTTGTTTCACATTGCTGAGTATTTTGATCGACACTAAGGTTACACAGTAGAAAGTACAAAAGCCTCAATCTTTTGTCCAGAGATGTGCTCTTTATGGGATAAGAAAATGTGTTGAATAAATACTTTGAAATTTTTGCCGAAATGGAATATTTTGTTCATGAGCAGAGTCTTGGCTCAAGTTTACATTTGCCCTTGGTGCATGTTTGGCAAAGTTTAAATAATAAATTAAGTTGGTCTAACTTTTTATCCACATATTTCATTGAACCTATGACTTCTTATCATATAATTTATATTTTATAAGTACTCAGTGCGAGTGTGAGAAGCACTTAGATTATATGTACTAGTTATTAACATTTGGACAACAATGATTGTGCTTTCCAATTTTCACTGGAAATAATTAATGAAACTAAAATCAGAAAATTGAACTACAAATTAATAACCACATATTGGATTTTGAGCAGGAAAAGTAAATGAATACAGAAGCTTTATATTTGATTCTCTGTTATTGGCATGTTTCAAATTTTTTATCAAACAAAATTGTACAGGACAACTATAAAATTGTTGCACGTCTCTTTTCCTTAAAAATGTTTGATCCCAATTCGTTTTCTTCTGCATCTCTGTGAATGGTTTGTTGTCGTCATTGTCATCGTTAAAACATCAAGCCCCGATACAAAACTACCTATTTCACACTATATGTTGACATTAATAACAATAGTGTGTTATGTCGCATTTTGTTAGTACGTGGGATGTTGATTAGAATTTATTGTTTGTTGGTCCTACTAAAATAAAAAAATGGATCACCCCTTTGCTTTGGGAAGAGCCCATCAAAGAATTCCATTGTATCCCTTCTAAGCGTTCTATTTCACCTCATGTTTTGTCGGGATAAAAGAGGGATAGGGTACAAAATATACTTCTTTAAGTTTCTTTTTGACCAAAAAAATTAATATGAAACGAATTCTTCTTTAACTATTGTGGGATGTTGATTGTTATTTGAAGGAATTTGCAAACGATAAATAAGCGCTTAATGGGAGGCAATTCATTCTTTAACCATTTACTTGTTTGAATTTGACATTTGCATTCAATTAAGTTTTTAGGATTACATAAGAATGAAGTTTACGTGTGCTTATAGTCAAGTCGAGCTAATGTTGTGTATCATTCATTGGATAATGCAACGGGTCTGCCAGACCAAGTTCAGCAACTACCCGTTGTCCGCATTGGTTAGTTAACCCCCACCTCCTGACTCTTAGTAGGATCACCGTATAGCACATCCAACTGTGGAACATGGTCTAATGTATGCGTACGGATTGTAACAAGTAAAATAAGGGATCTATGAGTTTGAATTTTTGTTCTTATGAGGACTATAACTTAATTCCTAATGTATAATTCTAACTCCAAATCGACGAAAAACAAGAATATAATTTGGTGATTGATTATTTTAATTATACTAAATTATCTAAATGTATAAATTAATCAAATTCGTTTTTTAAAGTATGAATATGGATGTCATGACTTACAATTTCATCTATGGATCCCCTCTAATTAATAATCAAGATTCTTTACCTATTTTAGTGATCGGTCGAATCCTTCTAACGTATTCAATTTACCTATATCAAGTTCAAATTGATTGTATTTAACCAAGTCAATTTCATATCTCTACGTGAATTCGGACACGTCTTAATTAAACGCATTAAATCTCTAAGAATCAATGTAACGGTTGCACTAACTAGAAAATGTACATCTAAACTTTTATACTAATTATCGAATTTCATTATGTGATCTAAATCTATAATTTACCTCTCGATTCATTATAAATTCACAAATCTTCTAAATAATTGGTCAAGTAATTCAAAGTTTTAAAATATCATAGATAAAATTAACACATTAATTGAACTACTAGAATATTGAAAATTAAATTAAAGGGTCACACATAAATTACATTGTTTGCCTAACTAAGGATCTAACTATTCATACTAATTAAAGAAAACCAATAAAAGAGAATAAAGTTTATAAACGAGTTTTGAAATCTTAATGAAAGAATGAATTGGATTTTGCACCGATAATCTTCTTCTTCAATCCCAAAATCTTGCAAACCCTTATTTTTCAATATTTGATCTTGATTTTCTATGTTTTTCTCTCTAAAATTGTGTCTTATAAAAAGAATGATTAAAACTATATATGGAAAGTCTATAATAACTCTAAAAATGAATCTCCAACATGGAATTTGACTGTAATTAGGAAACCGTCTAAAGCTAGAATTTTCTTCAAATTTCGTGCACTTTGGTCCTTCGTATTAATTTCCTATGCATCTCATATCCTCTTTATTTGCACGATTGGTCCTCAACTTCGGGTCTTGATTCTTTTTGGATCGTTTCTCCTACTCATAAATTTGACACATTTATTTGACAAATAATCGTGACATTTAATTTAAGTCAATTCAACGCTCAATATGTATTTCGCTAAGATCATATGAGAGTTTGTTATAACCATTTGATATCCATAAAATATTGAGCGTTTGATTGACTTAAATTAAATATTACGATTATTTGTCAAATAAGTGCATCAAAGTAATGAGTAGGACCAGGAGGAACGGTTCCGATATATAGAAATATCGCTCAATATAATAATAAATAAAAATCCAAGTCCGCATAAAATGTATATATCAATGACATACTTCAAAATGATACATAAGACACCATGGTCTCTTCAAACTAATTCTTTCAAAGAGAACATGGCCATAGGAGTGGAATGGTGATGGAGGAATGATAAAGGACGATCATAAGAAAAAGACCAGACTCGGTTGACTTGGGTTGGTCCGACACGCTTGAATTGATAGTTCGACATGACCCTTCGTACACTCTAGCTATAGTGGGGTAGGGGTGTTGACAAGGGTAGAGGACTTGACCAATGTCTTCAAGCTCAGATATTATTCATGCTGTTTTGGAAAGTTATCATCAAGAAAACTAATGGGGTCGCTGCCAATGAAGTGCTTATTGTTGGCTTTTACAATTTTATTAGAAATCAATGGATTCCAAGGTTGTATTGAGGAGGAGAGAGGGGGTCTTCTGGAAATTAAGACATATTTTCGATTGATGAATGGTGAAGCAGACACTGAGCTTCTTTCATGGATTTATGGAAAAGAGAGTAACTGCTGCAACTGGGAGAGAGTCACCTGTGATCCAACTACAAGCAGAGTAGTCGAGCTCGATCTTAACAATTTGCGAATTTTAAAACCTCTTGATCTCCAAGATTATTTTCTTAATGTCTCCTTATTTTACCCTTTTAAAGAAATAAGAATTCTTGATTTATCTGGAAATGACTTGTGGATTTCTGCTAATGGTGCAGGTAATTTATTAGCCTAGTTTTCGAATATAAACTTAATTATAATCAGAGTTTAAGATTTTATTATGTGATAAACTCCATCTTATGTACAGTTAGTTTACTTATAACTTTAGTAGAAGATTATTCAAGATTTATACACTAATCAATAATTGATTCTAAGCAGGTTTTATAAAATTGAAGAAGTTAGAGAAGTTAAACCTTGCTTTAAATGCGTTCAACAACAGCATCTTCGAGTCTCTAAGCACTCTCAAGCCGTTGAAGTTTTTGAACCTCAGTCACAATAACTTTGAAGGGCTTCTTCCTGTACAAGGCATGTAAATTTGTATTAGAACATATATGAATCATGCATGATAATTGGCATTTTATATAAAATCAACCCTTTCTCAACTTATTTGACAGAGAAAAGTTTCTCTTCTTATCTTTCTTGATTGCAGATCTATCGGCTTTGTGGAACTTGAAAATATTGGATTTAAGTCATAACAGGTTTGAGGGTAACCTCTCGTTGCAAGGTGAATACTTTTAGCATTCAATTGGTACACAGCATTCGACACTACAATACGAGTTTCTTCTTTAATCTCTAATTCTCCAATTATGTTATTTCTCAACATTTGCTACACTTGGTCTCGAATTGGAATAAAATCATAAACAAAGAATAAAGCGAAGGGAATATCAGAACATGTACTTACATGATATCAGAACATGAGAGTTTATTAGGATCTGTATGAGTCAACTGAGATGAAATTCAAATAACTGCACAAAGTAAAATTATTAGGTAAACTAGTTTATTCTACTTGTTACCTTCAACTCATTTGATAAGTATGATCTCTATGTAACATTATGGTATGATTTCCTATGTTTTTGGTATGCAAACTCCTCCGCTGATGATAAAGAGTCGTTTATTTCATAGATTATTGTGAAGAATATCGAAGAATATTGGATATTTATTTTAATAAAATCCACGTCCGCTTAAAAGGGGAGGGGGGATAATATCTGGTTTGTTTTGGTTTAATGAATTAAAAGGTAGTTATTTCAATTTCAAGATAACTCTGTTTCATTTATAGTAAGGCACTGCTCGAGTAAGTAAAGCTCACAAACTGATCACATGGAAGATCAGATCATGAACTCATGCGTTTTAACCTTGTATCTTTGATTCATTTGATGATGTTGTGGAATTTCTGCAGATACAGCAAGTTTATCCCAGTTGAGAAAGTTGGAGCACCTAGATTTAGGCACAAACAATTTCGACAAGCACATTCTGAAGTCAGTGAGCAATCTAAAGTCACTCATATTCTTATCATTACAACAAAATGATATGGAAGGTCCAATTTCAAGTAACGGTACGCTAACTTTATTCAAATTAAACTAGATAAGAGGTTAGCAGATATAAGAAAATTATTGTGACATTCAATTAACTGATCTTTCTGCAGAACTGGACAGCCTGAATAAGAATCTAGAAGTCCTAATTTTAAGAGATAATCAACTGACTGGTCCTCTACCTATTCAAGGTTTAGACAAAATCTCCCTTGAAGCATAAAGAAGAGTAAATCAAATTTCTTTTCCAAATATAAGGTGAAGTCTTGTCCATTAACTATATAGAATTTTTTTTGGCCAGATCTTACATCTTTCAAGAACTTAAAGGTCCTAGATTTGAGCAAGAACAATCTCGCGGGGAGCGTACCTCAAATTATCGGGCTTATGCCCTCCCTTTCGGCACTATCATTGGCAGAAAACAATCTTACGGGTTTCTTGCCCAGTAAAGGTACAAGATTAAGCAGCCTCATTTTCAATATGTCCTTATAATATGCTTTGTTATCAACTAATATAAATTAATAATATTTAAATTATTATTTAATGTAGAGATATGTTAAGGAAAAATGGAAGGAAAATTTATATTTAATTACGTTTTTTTAATCTGTGTAAAAATGGAAGTAAACCTATCTTTATAGGACGGATGGAGTTTTTTATTGGAAATACACAATAGTTTAATACATGTAAAATCATGTTAATAGTTGATAAATACACTTTTATTATTAGAAATAGATAATAGTTTAATACATGTAAAATCGTATTAATAAATTATATATTAATACAATCAAACTCCACTATATATTTAATAAATTGATTTTCTTTCATAATAATCTACTTATTTTATCAAGAAAATTAAATTTCCATTCAAAAGAAGAATCCAAAGTGTGGGACATTATTGAAAACTTATTTGATACTCTTGAAGGTATTTGAATTGTTTGATGTTGCTAATCTACCATTACATGAGTCGAAGTTGGAAAAGTTATTTTTAATGATAAATGAAGGAGCTCATGTTTGTGATGTTGAAGAAAATGTACGTATCCAAATTTTTTTTAAAAGTTTTATCAACGTACCCATATCGTATCGTATTCGAATTACGTATCTGATTCCGTGCTTCTTAGATATCAACCAACTTTCACAGTTGAGACGACACTCAGTTCCCCACTACTTGTTAAGGGATCAGGGATTTGTGACTGTGCATGCTTTTGCTAAACTTTTGAGGACTCTTACTTCATGCTCCATAATTTGCAGGTTTTTGTGAACTTAAAAACCTTCAAGAATTAGACCTCAGTCTAAACACCTTTGAAGGACCGCTCCCTCATTGTTTCACCAACTTGAGCTCTATAAGAGTTTTAGATCTTTCTAAGAATCGATTCAGAGGAGACATTTCCTTCATAATATCCAACCTCACATCCCTGGAATACATGAGCCTAAAGGATAATGAATTCGAGGGTAAATTATCACTTAGTTTATTGGCCAATCATTCTAAACTGGAGATCGTTGAACTGGTGAATATGGGAAAAATGGATGTTGAAACCGAAGATTCAAATTGGACCCCAAATTTTCAGTTGAAAGTTCTTCTATTGTCCAATTGTAACCTTAATAAACTCAGTGGCAATATCCCCAGTTTTCTTTCACACCAGTACAGGCTAAAAGTCATTGATCTCTCCCACAACAACCTGCGAGGAAATTTTCCTAATTGGTTGCTTCAGAAAAATGTAGGATTAGAAGTTTTGAACTTAAGAAACAACTCTCTTGTTGGCCAGTTATCACTGCCTCCTCATCAGAACAATAGCATTTATTGGTACGATCTGTCAAACAACCGCTTGACTGGACAGGTAGGGGAAGACATGGGAAGAAAGCTTCTAAGCATTGAATACCTTAACCTATCTAGAAACTATTTCGATGGTACCATTCCATCCTCATTCTGCAATATGTCTAACTTGATTCAATTGGACTTGTCTTTCAACAACTTCTATGGAGAATTACCAAAAGAACTGATTGCAGGATGCATCGATTTATCTGTTCTCAAATTATCCAGCAATAAGTTCAAAGGGGAGATATTTGCTACTAGCTTCAATTTGACAAGTATATTAGTATTACGCCTAGAGGACAACCACTTCTCTGGAATTGTGTCAAATGTTATAGCTAAGAGCTCTCTCATGAGTATATTGGACATTAGCAACAACAATATCTCAGGTGAAGTCAATTGGATATCTAATATGACAGGCTTGATGACTGTCCTCATGCACAATAACTTCTTGACAGGCCGGTTACCGTGTCAACTAGAGGTATACGGACTCTTAGACATTTCACATAACTCTCTTTCGGGACCTTTACCATCTTGCTCAAACATGCTGGATCATATAGTTTTACAGGGAAATAAGTTCACCGGACCAATACCAGATGCTTTTCTAAATTCATCATATCTAACAGTGGATATGAGGGATAACCTTCTGTCTGGTACGATCCCCTACTCGTTCGATGCGGTCTCCAACTTGAGGGTTCTTCTATTGGGGTCAAATCAGCTGAATGGCTCCATTCCCAACCACATATGTAATTTGAACAAAGTCTCCATGATGGACCTGTCCCACAACAAATTCTCAGGGATTATTCCTCATTGCATCAATAACATCTCTTTCGGGAAATTTGGCATATACGATCAAGTATACAGCTTGCATGCCTACTTTACATGGATAAAGCATCCAATCAGTACATATGGGAATTTCTTGGTGAGGACTTATGACCAACAGAATGTAGATGATCTATACAACGAATTAGTTGAAGTCGAATTTGTTACAAAAGGAAGGCCCGGCTCCTACAAGGGAGACATCCTCAACTACATGTCGGGATTGGATTTGTCATGCAACAATCTAACAGGAGAAATCCCACGTGAAATTGGAGATTTGGGTTCACTTCATGCAGCAAACTTGTCTCATAACCATCTCAAGGGTTCCATTCCTAAAATTGTCTCTCGTCTTTCCCAGATAGAGAGTTTAGACCTTTCATACAACAGATTGAGTGGAGAGATTCCACCAGAATTGCTGAATCTTCATTTTCTGGAAGTGTTCAGTGTGGCTTATAACAACTTGTCAGGTAAAATTCCAGAAATGAAAGCACAATTTGGGACTTTTGACAGGAGCAGTTATGAGGGAAATCTGTATCTTTGTGGACTTCCACTGGAAAATCAATGCTCTTCCATTGGGGAGTCGCCAAAATCATCATTTAGTTCAGAAAGAAGGGACAGGAAATGGTACAAAATAGATATAGAAGATTTTTATCCTACTTTTATTGTTTCCTACATCATATTCTTTCTGGCAGCAATTGCTGTTTTTTATATGAATCTCTCTTAGCGAAGAAGGTGTTCAAATTTGTGGAGTTGTGATACTATGAGTGCTAGATGATTCTGTACCTAGTTTGGGATACAAGTGAAAAGGTCTGTAGCTGGTAATTAATAGTTACAAGTCTCAAAATAAAACATCTGCTTGTATTCCTCTGTTTCATTCCCTCTCCCCCCCCCCCCCCCCCCCCCCCCCCCCCCCCCCCCCCCCCCCCCCCCCCCCCCCCCCCCCCCCCCCCCCCCCCCCCCCC